GCTTAATTTGTAATGTTTGAACAACTTTTAATAAAAATAAAAATTTTGTTTACATAAAAGTTGTAAACCTCGTAATTTCAACAAAAACTAACTAGTTATACGACGTAAATTACTGATTATTAAAAATTAAATTAATCAGTAAATAATATTTAATATATAATTGGTACAATTTTGTTCATATATATATATATATATATATATATATATATATATATATATATATATATATATATATATATATATATATATATATATATATCTTCCTATACTAATAAAAGAGTAGTTCTTTTGTCATGTGTCACCATGTTAGGCATTGTAATTAATATCATGACACTTGTCAATCTATTAGCACTTGTAATTAATATTATGACACTTGTCAATCTATTAATTCTCCATTTCAAAATTAAAATTTCAAAATTTAAATCACATTTTAATTACATTAAATTAATAATATTATAATATAAATAAAATAAAATTTATACCAATTATAATAAAATAAAATTTATACAAATTATAAGATGATATATTTTACGTATTTATTTGAATCAACGATTATAATTTTATATATAACTAAAAAAATATCTTTTAATTAATAAGTTATTTAAAATTATTAATTAATAGTTTTGAGTTTTTACTTAGAAAATTTAATTAATTTTTTAACCGTGGTTCCCACAGGTTATAAACTAGTATATATATATATATATATATATATATATATATATATATATATATATATATATATATATATATATATATATATATATATATATATATATATATCAACTTTTGTATGGTAAATATTGAAACAAACGTACGTTTATATATTTACTAGGCGAATGCCCACGCGTTGCGCATAAATACCTATATAGTTGAAATCTATACAAATATATGTTTTGTTTTTAAATATAACAATAACGTTGTTATTAAATTTGATATAATAATTTTTATACTAAATTGATATAATATATTAATTATTTTGAATTATATGATCATATATACATCTATTATTACTTCATAATCTCAATCGTTTGATCATATATATAATATACGGTTTAATGTGGTTTATAGTTGTTGTTACTGTTAATTAATTTTTTTTTTAATTTATTTGCTTAATGTTTTAATTTTTATCATTATAATTATTTAAAACGTCAAACATTATTTTTTTGATTTTTAATGTAACAATATAATCATTTATATAGAGTTATTTTTAACAATTGTTATTGTAAATTATTTTAAACTACTTATTTGGAAACTTTTAAGGATTATAAATATACAATTAGAAAATATTTAGTTAAATTGAGATTACAATTTAGTTTTTATTCATTTATCACTATAATTTATCACTTTTAAGTATTTACAAAATATTTTTTGGTTTTTCTCATGGAACTGAAATTTACGTGGAACTAAAATTTATATTTAAGTTGACATTGTAATGCGCGAAAACACCTATATAGTTGAAGTCTATACAAATATATGTTTTCTTTTTAAATATAGCAATAACGTTGTTGTTAAATTTGATATAATAATTCTTATACTAAATTGATATAATATATTGATTATTTTGAATTATATGATCATATATACATCTATTATAACTTCATAATCTCAATCGTTTGAGTGATTTCTACCCGCAAGATACACATGAATAAAATTAAATATAATTTAAGGTTAAATATTATTTATAGTTGCTGTTATTGTTAACTAATTTTTTAAAATTTATTTGCTTAATTTTTTTAATTCTATCACTATAATTATTTAAAACATCAAACATTATTTTTTGAGTTTAAAGGTAACAATATAATCATTTATATAGAGTTATTTTTAACTATTGTTATTGTAAGTTATTTATTTGAAAACTTTTAACGATTATAAAAATATGATTAGGAAATATTTTAGTTAAATTGAGATTACAATTGAGTTTTTGCATTTATCACTATAATTTATCACTTTTAACTATTTACAAAATATTTTTTAGTTTTTTAAGTGAACTGAAATTTATATTTAAGTTGACATTGTAATGTTATATTTAAGTTAACAATTTAAGTATTTTGTCAAAATTGTTCAAATATTGTAGCTTTAAACTGATAATGGTTTATATATAACAACATATTAAATCTAATAAATTAAGTATAATAAGTTAAAAGTTAAACACATAACTTTATAAGTAATAGTAAATATATTATTTTAAAATTGAAATTTAGTTCATTTATGATTATACTTTAGGTTTGATATTTATTTAACCTTATCAACAAACTTATAATCATTATAAGAAAGAAACAACAATTTATCATTTTTAACTATTCACAAAATATTTTTTGGGTTGTTTAAGTTAAACTAAAACTTATATTTAAATTGACCCTGTAATGTTATATTTAAATTAATAATTTAAGTATTTTATACAAATTGTTTCAAAATTGTATCTTTAAAATGATAATAGTTTACATCCAACAATGTATTAAAACTAATAAATTAAGTATAATATATTATAAGTTAAAAAACATAACTTTATTAATAGAAGTAAATATAATATTTTAATATTGAAATTAGTTTATATATGATTACTTTTTAGGTTTAATATTTATTTAACCTAATTAACCAAATTATAATTATTATTAGAAAGAAATAGAAAAGTCATGGGAGTTTCAAATGAATGTTGTGAAAGGAAATATAAATGAGAGTTTCAAATGAATATGATGCAAATAAAAATGTTTCCTTTATAAGTATATAATGATTGAGTTCATTTGCTACAGGTATTATGAGAACAAATTCAACCCGATTCCCAAACCTTATAAATTCTATCCAAACAAAAGGTTATTCACTTGGATTACATATGCACTACGTGTACTCCAGGTGGGAAGTTGTATCAGTGATTCACCCAAAATAGATATGTACCAAAAGAAACAGATAAACATTTAATATTTTTAAAACGGTTAAAATTTTAGTATAAATAGAATGCAAATGAACAAATTTTCGGTACACAAAACCTCAACTCTCTCAAATATAATTCACCCCACCCCTTGAGGCTAATTATCTAATTTTAACCGCTCTGTAACAGAAGTTTATCATAAAAGCATGCTTCGAAAGTGAGTTTCACGGTCCCATTTTAAACTTTTTATTATTTTTCGGGGATAATACATGTTTTTATATTATTTATTTATATAAATCATAAATTGTTTATATCGCTTATAATTTAGTTACATAATCGTTATAACAATTTCCCGTCAAAACAGTCATTTACCTATATAAAATTTAGTAAACACTATGTTATGATGCCCACATAATATAAAATTATATTATGTATTGTTGTTACTATGTCCTCATAATATAAAATTATATTATCCATTGCTGTTACTATGCTCATATAATATAAAATTATATTATGCATTGCTGTTATTATGCCCACATAATATAAAATTATATTATGCATTGCCGTTACTATGCCCACATAATTTATTACACATTGTTGTTATTCTACATATTTAAGTTTTACAAAATTATTTAATAGTATAATTATAAAAATATTTTTATAATTATATAACATAAACCGATAAAGATAAACATGTAAAGTTATAAGACTACAATTTTTAGTGCTACTCATTCAAGGGTTTACATGAGACACATTCATCACCTAAGTGTAATACATAGTAAAGTCCCCTACCTATAATCGTTAAATCTTAAGTGAGCGGGAAAGTTATGTATAGATCTATACGGGCTGACACCCCACCTACGGTTGCTAGCTACAACCATCGACGGTCAGGTCAGGGATGATAACTGTCTAAACACTACAACGTCCGATGAAGCGTCGTGAGGGGCAATAACTTGTCTGTAGCTCGATTATGGGAACTCATGTGACATTGATAATCACACCTAAAAAGCAATTATAAGTTTGAAAATACTTATATACGATAAAATAAGTAGTTTTGGAAATAAAGTACACATACAAATATTAGTTTGAAAATACTTATATACGATAAAATATTCTTTGGACTAAAAAGTACATTAATACAAATATAAAAACCTGTGAACTCACCAACTTTATGCTGACATTTTTAAATCACATGTATTCTCAGGAAAATAAGAGTCAGCCGTATCAATCTTTTGGGAAATATTCATGGGATTGTCGGAGTACTTTTTATGTATACTGTACTTATCTAATTTAGCACTACTTCTAATTTTTGGTTTCTTGTATTCTAAAAACCTAGTACGATATGTAATATATTTTGTAATATAAAAATAACTTTTAAGTTATACTGTTAAATGTAATCAATAACTGTGAACCATGATGACGTCGCGTAAGCTCGGCATTTCTGCCGTTGACCGGGTGTGACAGATTGATATCAGAGCTATTGGCTATAGCGAACTAGTATTTTCATAGGAAATTATGACTATAGCTTTAGACGCACTACTCTGATTCATTGTATTCGTTAACCATAATAATAAAAGTATTAATTACACTACTATAAACTAGTTATGGGAGAAATGTCTAAGATGGATTTATCATCATGGGTTGTTGAATTTCAGAAAAGCTATACGCTGAAATAATCCCGCCCTCTGACTTTTCTTGATTGACTTGTCCTTACTTGATAATCTTAAAGTAACAAATAAAAATTAACAAAACACACAAACAAACTTCAGATATGGAGTTATTTATAAACTATAACCCTCGATGAAACCACTTATACTTACAAATGTAACATACAATAAAAATCCATAGGAACACATTATTTAAGTTGGTACAGTACTGCAACCAAACCATAACTAGACTTAGCTTGAGCACCTAAGTTTTATTATGGTCTGACCGACGCACGACTATACTTTGATACTCTAGTTGGCAATCTAAATTCTTGAGAATTATTTAGAGACATAGTTCTGAGTCACATATACTTTGTGGAGATTCACTGGAAATACCAGTAATATCTATTATATACTTATAATTGAAGATTATTTGTATATAGATCATCACGCTATTTCTCACAAACATCTATCATGTTTTATGTCTTATGAAGGATCATGGTAGACCCGGTAGATTGGACAACGATACCATGGGCAGAGGAGGATCAGGTGGTGCCCCCACTCGCCTGAGCCCGAGGATTCTACTCTTCCTGAGCTTCCAGTACCACTATCTCCTTTAACCTCAGACAAGAAACCCTACGAGGAGGACGAACCCTCAGAACAAGCTGGAGGTTCTGATGAGCCTGTAGATATAGAGACCGAGCCTGTTGAGGAGGAGACTGAGTTTGTTGATGTGGTGACTGAGTCGGTTGAGGAGGAGATAGACCCTGCGGAGGAAGAAGTTGATTACTCTGAGTGGGAGGATGAGGAGCCCAAGGAAGAAAGAGAGATAGCTAAAGAGCCTGAACCAGCCATTGAGCAATAAGCCCCCCACCCCTACCAACCTTCCAGATATACCGACATACTTATAATGGTCCTTCTGTGGCATACACTCCACGAAAATCCATACCTATTCGCAAACAGAAGCGAAGTACTCCACCACCAGCATCTTTAGTAACCGTAAAAAGGGTAGCTCCGACTTCAGCCTGGGTAACAAAACTACTAGACTAGAAAGCTGAGGATGAAATACCATCCCAATTTGAGGTCGTAGAGTCATGACGAGCTCGACAACCTACCCCTCCCCATGAGGCATCTTCCGATCCCGCTATACCCATCTTAGTTTCTCAAATATCATAGCTCCTTCATCAAGTTCACATCATCACTACTGAAATAGGGAATATTAAGGGGAACTCTACAGATCATCATGATAAAATTGAAAGCTTAGAAGAGGATCAAAATTTAGATGAGGAAGCCATACAACTTATTTTTAATCATTTGGATTCTATCCAGATACAACTGCTGACCCATGAAGCTCAAATTTCAGGAATGGAGCTTATGGCACAAGTTATGGAGCATAGGGTGATGGCATCTGAGGCTAGAGCTTATGCAGCTGAGATGAGTGTCGAATCTGTACATCAACTCACCCACCTAGTTATTGTACTAGGTTCTTTTCTAGGTTTATGGTAGACTCAATCGGGCGGGTTGTGCCTAGGGAATTTTTGTGTTGGGGGTACGGGGGAAAAGTTGGTTGATAGTAACCTAGCTACCTACTTTTGAGTATCATCTTTTGTATGATAGTATATCAAACTTTTCCACCCCTAACCACACTATTTTTTGTGGTTCTTGTAACCAAATTTTGGGAAAAACTAGTGTATCTGTACAAAGAAATGTTTATATATGAAGCAAGTATTATTACTAAAACAATGTGTATGTTAAATGTTGTAAGTTGACTTTTGATCATAAACAACTTAGGAATCGGTAAAGATTCTGCAAATAATTACAATGATATTCGATAAACTTATATGATCAAAAAAAAAAACTTATCCAGTTATTACTTACAATATTATGAATAAAGAACTATTTGAGTATTGTAAATTACGACATATTAATCTATAAAGGATTTTTACGAATTTACATTAACTCTTGCAGACGAAATAGTCATTATTATACACATATGTATAATTAAAAAAAAGCTTCAAATGACTAACACTTTCTTTAAAACATCTCTAATATAACTAAAGCATGCCTCCAAGACGAGTTACCAGACGCAATCCTAGAACACCAACACCTACCCCAGATCCTACGCCAGTAATGGACTCAACGGCTATTGAAGCATTAGTTGCTCAACGCGTCGCGGATGCTATTGCTAACTACGAAGCCAACATGAATACTGGATTCAGAAACGGTGATGGAAATGGAAATGTAGGTGGAAGTATCTCTAATATCAACAATTGAGGAGGACATAGAGACTGTACTTACAAAGACTTCATGAACTGCAAGCCGAATTCTTTTTACGAAAATGAACGAGTCGTCGGACTAACCCGGTGGATCGAGTAGATGGAATCAGTGTTTGAAATAAGCTTTTGTGATGAAAACTATAAAGTAAGATTTGATGCATGTACGTTTGCTGATGCAGCCATAACATGGTGGAACAGTCATGCCAAAACACTAGGCATCAGCAATGCCAATGCCATGTCATGGAGTGAACTGAACCAGTTGTTGATTGACGAATATTGCCCAAGAGACGAAATGCAAACATTAGAGCAAGTATTGTGGAACCTTACCATGAAGGATGCAGACATTGCAACCTACACCAACCGATTTAATGATCTTGCTACTCTCTGCCCCAGTTTTGTGACACCAGAATATAAGAAGGTAGAAAGATACATATAGGGTTTGGTTCAACCCATTCAAGGTTTGGTTACCGCTTCAAGACTAGATACGTACGACAATGCCAAATGGTTTGCATTTAACTTGACTAACCAAGAGATACGCCAAGGTACTATGGTAAAAAGACTTACCTTCCAAAGCTGGAAAACAATAAGCGCAAGTTTGGTAGAGGGTACAAGGGAAATCCAAGGCAATCTGCTGAAAAGAAGCAGGAGACAGTGAAAGCATATGCAACCACAACAACAATGACACCCACCAATCAAAAACAATATGTTGGAAAATACCGAAAATGTGATAAGTGCAATTATCATCATATTGGTAACTGCAGGTTTTGTGACAAATGTAAGAAGAAGGGCCACACCGCCCAGTATTGCAGAATTCCAACACCGGTAACAATACCCGCAACAAACACAGGAACTTTCACTGCTGCAACCCAATCCTGTTTTGAATGTGGATAGGTTGGACACTTCAAAAAGGGCTGCCCAAAGATGAATAATCAACGAGGGAATGCTAGAGGTAGGGAATTCGTGATTGGAGCAAGGGACGCCATCCAGGACCCAACAGTGGTGACCGGTACGTTCCTTGTTAACAACTTATATGCAACTGTACTATTTGATTCCGGTGCTGAAAGAAGCTTTATTACCCCTAAGTTTAAACAACTACTCAATCATAAATCTAATAAACTAAATGAAACCTATGTGGTAGAAATGGCTAATGGTGAATCTGGTAGTACCCAAGAAATACTAGAAAATTGTACATTAACTCTAAACAATCATGCCTTTCATGTTAAGCTTATGCTAATGATTATCGGAAACTCCGACATAATAATTGGCATGGATTGGTTATCCCCTCATCGTGATGAAATTTTGTGTTATGAAAAAGCAGTACGACTCCCTTTACCCAATGGAGAATCCCTAATTATTTACGTGGATAAGTCCGGTCAGAACCTCAAAATCATCTCATGTATGAAAGCACATAAGTACCTTCACAAGAAGTACTACTCTATCTTAGCCTATATTATGGATAAAAAGAGCAGAGGGGAAGAAATCAAGGATATACCTCAGGTGTGTAATTATCCTGATGTATTCCCTGAAGATCTATCTGGATTGCCATCAGTTCGACAAGTCGAATTCCGAATCGACTTGGTCCCAGGAGCAGCACCAGTGGCAAAATTTCTTATAGGCTGGAACCGTCTGAAATGGAAGAACTCTCTAGCCAAGTACAAGAACTTCTTGACAAGGGTTATATCAGACCAAGCTTCTCACCCTGGAGAGCACCAATTCTGTTTGTTAAGAAGAAGGATGGATCCTTTCGGATGTGCATTGACTATCGGGAGCTAAATAAGTTAACCATCAAGAATCGATATCCTTTCCCAAGAATCGATGATCTATTTGATCAACTACAAGGGTCAAATTACTTCTCGAAGATTGACTTAAGGTCAGGATACCACCAAATGCGAGTCCAAGCTGAATACATTCCAAAGATGGCAATCAGAACTCGCTACGACCACTATGAATTCCTAGTTATGCCATTTGGATTGACCAATGCTCCAGCAGTTTTCATGGATCTCATGAACCGCGTTCGCAAACCCTACTTGGACAAATTTGTGATTATATTCATTGATGATATATTGATATACTCATAAACCAAGGAAGAACACGAGCAACACCTTCAAGTAATTCTGGAACTGCTACGAAAGGAAAAGTTGTATGCCAAATTCCCTAAATGTGAATTTTGGATTAGAGAAGTAAATTTTCTAAGGCATGTGGTCAGCAACAAAAGAATTCATGTCGATCCTACCAAGATAGAGACAATCAAGAATTGGGGAGCACCAAAGACGCCAACATAGGTGCACCAATTCCTTGGACTCGCAGGCTACTATCGGAGATTCATAAAAAAATTCTCCAAAATAGCCAAGCCATTCACAACATTAACACAGAAACTTCTCCAATATTCACAGAAATCCTTGGGAACATGCCTTGACATGAGCACAACTTATCATCCACAAACAGATGCTCCGAGCGTGTGCGATAGACTTTGGAAGCACATTGGATACTCATCTTCCTCTCATTGAGTTTTCATACAATAATAGTTATCACACCAGCATTAAACCTGCACCATTTGAAGTCATATACGGACGTAAGTGTCGATCACCAATATGTTGGGCAGAATTAGGTGATACCCAACTAGCAAAGAAACATGCACGCGATACACTACTTACTGGTCCAGAAATCATACATGAAACGATTGACAAAATCATCCAGATACGTGATAGAATTAAGGCTGCACGAGATCGTCAAAAAAGTTATGCCGACAAGAGACGTAAACCTCTAGAATTTCAAGTCGGAGATCGAGTTATGCTGAAAGTCTCTCCTTGGAAGGGTGTCATAAGGTACGGAAAACAAGGAAAGCTTAATCCAAGATACATAGGACCGTTTGAGATTCTTGCAAGAATTGGTCATGTAGCCTATCAACTCAAGTTACCTCATGGGCTCAGCAATGTACATGAAGTTTTCCATGTATCAAACCTCAAGAAGTTCTTATCCGATGATGCTCTTGCAATTCCACTTGATGAAATCCAAATCAACGCTAAACTTAATTTCGTAGAAGAACCCATCGAGATCATAGACCAAGAAATCAAGAAACTCAAACAAAGCCGCATCCCCATATTAAAAGTTCGATGGAAGTCTAGACGAGGACCAGAGTTTACTTGGAAGTGCGAGGATCAAATGAAGACTAAATACCCCCAACTATTCAACCATGTTCCATCCACTAACTAAATTTCGCGACGAAATTCTTTTAACGGGGGAGACTGTGACAACAGTCAAATTAAGTTAACGAGTGTCACTTGCGAACGTGACGTAAATCAAATGTAATAGGCTTAATTTGTAATGTTTGAACAACTTTTAATAAAAATACAAATTTTGTTTACATAAAAGTTATAACCCTCGTAATTTCAACAAAAACTAACTATTTATATGGCATAAATTACCAATTATGAAAAATTAAGTTAATCAGTAAATAATATTTAATATATAATTTGTAAAATTTTGTTTATATATATATATATATATATATATATATATATATATATATATATATATATATATATATATATATATATATATATATATATATATATATATATATATATATATATATATATATATATCAACTTTTGTATGGTAAATATTGAAACAAACGTAAGTTTATATATTTATTGCGTTCATTTGCTATAGGTATACCTTATAAATTCTATCCAAACAAAAGGTTATTCACTTGGATTACATATGCGCTACGATGTACTCTAGGTGGGAAGCTGTATCAATGATTCACCCAAAATAGATATGTACCAAAAGAAACAGAAACATTTAATATTTTTAAGATGGTTATAATTTTAGTATAAATAGAATGCAAATGAACAAAGTTTCGGTACACAAAAGCTCAACTCTCTCAAATATAATTCACCCCATCCCTTGAGGCTAATTATCCAATTTTAACCGCTCTGTAACAGAAGTTTATCATAAAAGCATACTTCGAAAGTGAGTTTCACGGTTCCATTTTAAATTTTTTATCGTTTTTCGGGGGAGAATACATGTTTTTATATTATTTATTTATATAAATCATAAATTGTTTATATCGCTTATAATTTAGTTACATAATAGTTATAACAATTTACCGTCAAAACAATCGTTTACCTATATAAAATTTAGTAAACACTATGTTATGCTGCCGACATAATATAAAATTATAATATGTATTGTTGTTACTATGCCCACATAACATAAAATTATATTATGCAGTGCTGTTACTATGCCCACATAATATAAAATTATATTATGAATTACCGTTATTATGCCCATATAATATAATATTATATTATGTATTGCCGTTACTATGCTCACATAATTTATTACTCATTACTATTATTCTACATATTTAAGTTTTACAAAATTAACTAATAGTGAAATTATAAAAATATTTTTATAATTATATAACATAAACCAATAAAGATAAACATGTAAAGTTATAAGACTACAACTTTTAGTGCTACTCATTCAAGGGTTTACATGAGACACATTCATCACCTAAGTGTAATACTTAGTAAAGTCCCCTACCTATAATCGTTAAATATTAAGTGAGCGGGAGAGTTATGTATAGATCTATACGGGCTGACACCCCACCTGCGGTTGCTAGCTACAACCATCGACGGTCAAGTCACGGGTGATAACTGTCTAAACACTACGACGTCCGATGAAACGTCGTGAGGGGCAAAAACTTGTCTGTAGCTCGATTATGGGAACTCATGTGACATTGATAATCACGCTTAAAAGCAATTATAAGTTTGAAAATTCTTATATACGATAGAACAAGTACTTTTGGAAATAAAGTACACATACAAATATAAGTTTGAAAATACTTATATACAGTAAAATATTCTTCAGAGTAAAAAGTACGTTAATACAAATATACAAACCTGTGAACTTACCAACTTTATGTTGACATTTTTAAATCACATGTATTCTCAGGAAAATAAGAGTCAGCCGTATCAATCTTTTGGGAAATCTTCATGGGATCGTCGAAGTACTTTTTATGTATACTGTACTTATCTGATTTAGCACTACTTGTAATTTTTGGTTTCTTGTATTCTAAAAACCTAGTACGATATGTAATATATTTTGTAATATAAAAATAACTTTTAAGTTATACTGTTCAATGTAATCAATAACTATGAACCATGATGACATCGCACAAGCTCGACATTTCCGCCGTCGGCCGGGGTGTGACACCGGATGCAAATCTTGACACATTTTTATCTTCTGGTCCTACTTCTGCTCAAGAAAGAAGAGAGAAGAAAGCCAGGGTTAAGCAGCTCATAGGGAAGATGCTAGTTATGAAGCATTGTGGTCGAAATTCTCCTGGTGATCACCTTGAGATGTTTTTCTGGGAGACTGGGAAGAAATTTATAGATAAGCATGGAGACCGCTCTGGCTTTTTGATGTGGGGATATGATGCAGATAAGAAAATGTGGATTGTAAAGTGTAAGAGCGAACAAATTGAGTAGTATGAGAAGAAAGTCGACTTTTTGTCCTAGAAAAAAGTAGATCTTTCTGAACTTATTCACACTCCTTTCCACAATCCAACAAATGAACCCATGGTCTAGTCTTTTAAGAGTTTTCTTGAGGATAAAGCTAAGAATAACTTTGAATGCATGAAGACTACTTCATCGTTTACAAAAAGAAAAGGCTAGCGATGTGATTGATCCTCGCACTAATAAAACCATGGTGAATGTTATGTGGTCGCCTACAATGCAAGCTAAAAGGATTTCGCTTCCTAATCGTTTACTCGATGGAACTTTGGACTCAATGCAATTATGGGTTTATGATGATGCTACTGCTTCAGTGGTGATCAAGCTGAAAAAGAACCAATATCGCATTGTTGATCCCAAAGACTTATTGAATTTTTGTGAGCGTGATATTCAAACTTTTTCAAACTTTCAAATAATTGTTGAGGGTGAATTGTTTGAAGCTACTGTAAAAGCCTTCATCGGAGTGGTTGCTACCATAATTGGAAGGAAGTTGTGGGCTAGGGAATTTGATATGGTGGATTTGCATCTTGTGGAAAAGACTTGAAGAGAACTAAAAGCATTAAACCAAGGATGAGATTGTTGGACTATATTTTGTGGTTTATGCTTTGTTTTGTATGTCATATGTGTTGTCTTTTGTGGACAGAAATCAACGATGGGCTTAGTGTTTTCGTTGGGCTTTAGGTTAATTGGTGTTATATAAATATGGTTTGTGTATAGTTATTCAATGTTAATGCGTTTTTGGTGAGTTGGAGCATATTCACGGTTTAAGAGTATTTGAATGTACCTGACAATTGATCAATAGAATTGTGTGTATTCATTTAAATGTGTTCATTGATTCATCTAAGTGTTTGTTTGTTTCGTATAATTATTTGATTAAGATTTTGCATTAACTCAAACAATTGCATTGATACCTTGAGAAGATCCGAGTTGTGGGACTTACAACAAACTATATGACCCACAGGAACCACTAAAACTGAAATCTTATCTCTAACTTGAGTGTCAACCACATAAGCCAAATAACCCCCACACCCATGTTGAATATACTAATGAGACCTGGCTGTTGAACAAAACCTTGAAGGCTTGACCCGAACCTGGTGCCCTCTCCATAAATAAGAAGGTTCATAGTACACTTGACCCTCTGATCAGTTGGGCAAGAGCAAGTGAATAAACACCCCTCAATGTTAGAAAACCACCTCATGGCTATGACCAGGGTCCTAAACTCCATCAAATGTCGGGGGCTTCGTATTTTCAAAGTCTCGATACTGGAAGACTCTCCCAGCATCAACCACAGTAGTGACAACGACTGCGGTAGCTGCAGAAGATGCCTCATACAAAGCACCTTAACGCTCATCAAAATACTCCACCATGGCGGTCTCAATAGAACCAAACATCTATGACAAATGTGCTTGAAGGTGAGCTTCAACCTCCTCCTGAAGGATTTCCTTAATCCTGTCCTCGGACACAACTGGCCTATTCTGGCCACCTGTCCCTAATCCTGATCCATATCCTACCTCGAAACGACACGTCATCACCATACTGAAAATAAACCAGGGAGATATCAGACAACATGCACAACATACCATAGGAACCAACTTCTAACAAAGCCCTAGGGGCTATGACTTCCTTTTTACGCGTATAGGTCATGTGCTTTCAGTAGTACAATACCATACCACCTTCCATACCTACACATATTTGTCTCAAGGATCATCATAACAACCCTAACAATACACACTACAATCCGAATACACTCAATCCTCACTCCCTAGAGGAAAGCTAATCATCATGAAACTGGTCGGTTGAATCCACACAAGCCATCCATGAAACTTCCACCAACCCTATTGTATCATCCTAAAATTTAAGACTAGGTTCTAAAATTAATAAAGTAAGTAAATGAAAATGAATTATATAGTTAAATCATTAAGTAATAATCATAACATAAGTTGATATGAAGTTTAGAAAGTTAGAAGTGTAAATAATAACATTTTAAAAGTAAATGGACAACAATGTCAAATTGGCAAAGTTACTTGACTAAAGGGTTGACTAAATGGAAGAGATTATCAAGGTTATAAAATGGATGAGGAAGGACTTATTATGTCAAAACATGAATTAAAGTCATAAATATTGAGGTTTGGTGAGTTTTGGCTAAAATGAGCAAACTTAAAAGACCAAATATGAAAAATCTAGAAAGAAGATGAACACCCTCCTTATATTTCTTCTAGATTCGTGATGAGCATTCTAGAGACCCTCCAATTGGAGATTCTTCATCTTATTCCATCTAGGGTTTGATCTAAGAGAAGGATTAAGTAATCAAACAAAGGAAAGAAAGAAATCAATACTTACAAGGTATAAAATCCCTTCACCTTGCTCCATTTTTTATTTCAAGTTTTAGCTAAAACTCCAATCTCGTTTTTAGTTAAAATAAATGGTTAAAACTCCATTTTTCTTACCTACCTTGATTAGTTTTGATGATTCTAATCTCAAACCAATCCGTATATTGGTGGATTGGATGATTTAGGTGAAAACCCTCATGAACCCTAGAAAACCCAAATTAGGAATAATGCAATTGATGATGAAATGAGATTGGATTCTACGACCTAGATGATATTTGATATCAACAAATACAATTAGAATTATCAATTTCATCAATGATGGTAGAATCATGTTTATACTAGAATTGGAATGAAATTGAGTGAAATGTGATGAAAACAATGGAACCATAAGGGCATTTTAGGAAACGTATTGATTACTACATAAAGATTGACATCTAAGAAGTGAATGACATTCATGAATATGAACTGACACTATATAGATGATATTGGAACACAAACATGAAGAGATGCTAGTAAGGTTCTAGCTTTAGTGATTGTTTTGACCCAACGGGTAATTTAGGAAACATGGAATGGATTGAGGATTCCATGGTTAGTTTAAGTACTTGCTATGAGATTAATGGTGGTTTAATCTACTTGCAACACCCAATGATGTATTAAATGATTTGGGAATAAGTCATATTAGTTAAAGAGTGCTTTTGAGCAAATTGAGCTCTTAACCTATTCATTTGAGTGTTTTAAACATTATAAACATAACACTTAGAGGGCTTGATGAATTAAGATGAATGTTTTGACATGATAAAATGTCCTCTAGTAGTGCTTAGAAACTTTTAAAAGTGTTACAATTGGTTACCTAAAAGACCAAAACTATCTAAGCAAGTTTAAGACTCAAAAAGTGAGTTTTTGAGGGTGTTTGGGCTGCTAGGGGACGCGATCCGCGTGGTCAGGCATGCGGCCTGCGCACAGATAACAAATTATTCGGCTAGACGGAACTTTAGTTGTTTCCTTATAACTTTTGCATACAGACTCAGATTTACATGCGGTTTTCACATACATTCATATTTTTACATAAGGAATAGTATGAAATAATAAAATTTAGTAATGGAACCTTTTAGGGGTATTTTGGTCATTTTAATGACTTGTGTCCATGTTATATAGGTGTTGATTGAGAGTGTTTCTATAAGGAAAGGAACTAGAAGAAGACTAGCTAGCCTACATATGATTGAGGTGTGTTGGCATATTTCCCACTTTGGGGTACATGGAAAAATGATTTATGATATTGAAATGCAATGCTTTGATATATGAAATGTTTTGGAACGAAAGTGCCAAATGTTTTTGGATAGGGTATTTTGAAAGAGTGCCTTAATGGCAAGAATGTTTTTGAAAGAAAAGAACGTTTTGGAAGATTGAATGTTTTGAAAATATGATTGAAATGTTTTGAAATATAGATGCTGTACTTTTGAAATGATTTTATGATACTAATGTATGAAATGTGTAAATCATGGAAAGTAATGAAAAGAAATGTAAAGTAATGAAAATGAATGGAAAGTAATGAAAGGAATTGGAAAGTAATGAAATGAAAACTGCCCAGGCCATGATACCTCGTAAGAGGCACTGGAGGAATCTATCGGGGTGGATTGATTTGTTCTTTCCACCCTGTCTTTGGTGGATTGATTTGTTCTTTCCACCCTTCACAAGATAGATGTCCTATTATGATACCTTGGTGGATTGATTTGTTCTTTCCACCCTGGCTTTGGAAATGATGCCTTGGTGGATTGATTTGTTCTTTCCACCTTGGTCTAGACTTGGGAGTGGTTCTTTTATTGGACGTAGACCCTAAGTATACAAATGACAACGGTATAATACCGGAATTAGCCCTTAACGATAAAAGAAAATGAAATATGGAAATATGACTTTTGAAATGAAATAAAGGAACTGGAATGAGAAGATATGAAACGATATTTATGAAATGTATGAAATGAGTTTTCCTTGAAAATGTTTTATGGTCTAAAATTATGTTTTGCAAAGATGAAACATTTTTGATGAAAATATGATAAATGTTTTGGGTCTCGAAACCACGTAGCTCACGAGACATTATCGTCTTACGTATCTTTTTTTTAATGCCATGTATCTCAGGTTACCTTTAAGGAGAGAGGATGAAAGATGGAAGTTAGAAGTCAAGTTATAGATAATGGAGTGGAACTTGATAAGTTCCTTATTATTTTGCATTGATATAATTCTTATTTGCTTGCTATGGATTTATTGATGCTTAATGGTAGCACCCAATGTTTTAATTTATAAAGGTTTTTGTGGCACCGGTGTTTGTTAAATGTGGGTTAATACCTGAACGTTTTTAAAACATAGCATATTAAAGTTTGAAAAAAATTTAGGCTGTTACAGTTTGGTATCAGAGCCATAGTTTAAGTGAATTAGGATTTGATCATTCCACTCCTAGGATTAGACTTTGGCTATGAAAGTATGAATGATACATAGGATTATTATGCCTTAATGTAGGAATGGCAACAGGGCGGGGCATGGCTTCCCAAACCCGAACCCGATTTTTAAATGTGTACCCGAAACCCGACGGGTTTCTTATTGGGGCGCCTCGTCGGGGCTGAAAATTTCCCCGAACCCGACCCTAAACCCGAAACCCGATAATCACCCGAAAACCCGACCCTAAAACCCGAAATATGGCAGAAAAAAAGAAGGAAAAACTATAAATACAATGATAAATTAAGAAGTTGCATAGGCTTAAAATACCAACTAAGTTCTTAAATCACAAAACAACTCAAATCAAAATCACACAATAAATCTGTCTATATAAATTAGAAATCAGAACAGATCAAATTCACTCAATAGATCAGTCTTAGCATATCAGAAACATATTAGAAATCAGAAACCATATATTCAACTCAAACCAATGTCATATCAGAGTATCATACTCAACAAATATTATGTTCATTTGAAAAGAAATCAAATAATATATGCATTTAAATATCAGAAATCAGATTATCGGTACAAATCAGCTGTATTCAACATTATCCAAAATCAATACAAAAATCATATTCGAAATCCAAAATCAATTCATCATAAACAGTAATTGGATTCGAGAGTATCAAGTTCATCATAAATCATATTCAAATCCATCACAGTTCGAAATTATCAAGTTCAATTAAGCATTATTTTTACCGATTAGATGAGTTCGAAATTACTAGGA